ACCCAACTTTGTGAACACAGTAACTCCTTCATTAAGGAAGCTGAGTAGCTGCTGCATCATGGCAAAAGTGGAGACATGTACTTCACTGGCAGTGACTGACTGAGCAGGATCCTCTAACAGCTTTGTGCTGTGTAGTAAAGTTGTTCCTCTCTGCAGTGGTTTTGTGACAGTACTGCTCTGGATACTGAAGATTCTCTGGAGCAGAAAGTTTACAAGTTCAGAGGTGACCTGGCTGTGAGACAAGGAAACTATCAGGTACTGTCACTCACTCAATTTAGTCTGTGCTCTCTTACATCAAATACTTCCTAAAATAACATCCAGCTTAGTTAACTGGTACTTTTATTGCTGATAAACAAGTGTCCATTCATGACTATCAGTTTACATTTTTATCAGCAGCATCAGTGTTTGAATATTTCCCCGAGTCTTGATCCTAGTTTGCTCATTTCCATATTTCCTACCCAACAAGTCGTCTCATTAAAAAGGACATTTCTGTCGTTTCATTTCACACAGCCAAAAGTGCACAGATGTAGTCAGCAGTGTGTTACATTGTGTGTTTTTATTGACAGTTAAGAAGAACTTGACAAATTTTCTTTCACCTTTATTTTGTCATTTAATTTGTCTTTAAACAAAATGTAATTTTTCAGGTTTTTTTGTATGTAAAGTTGCTCTTGTCACAAGGCTTAAATTCCCAGACAGTTTGGATTAAATTGGCTCCTTTTTATAAACCAACAGTTTTTCTCTCTTTGGTCTTCCAGGTGATGTCAGAGGACCTGATCCCAGAGAATATGAGGGAGGACTACCAGGATGGGGAGAGCCTGACCAGTGTCTCTTTGCACAGCTTCAGACAGCGCTGGTGGAACAAGATCTTACTGACAGGCGTGTTAGAGACTGACGGGCAGCAGCATGAAACACAATATCCACATGCTGCAGTGTTGACTGTTTACAAAGGCGCACACAAACAGGAAGTGAAGAACCAGGTGAAGATGGTTCAGACAAAGAGCATAGTGACTAAACCATCACTATTTCAGTAACTATTGAAATAGTGACTCTTTTTTGCATTAAACCATGAAACAAAGTGAATTATTTTAACTGCTTCATGTTCTGCTTCACATGTTGCTTATGGTTGTTAGTTTAAACACAGTATTTCTATATTTCTGATTTAAAAAAAAAGTAATGTTTCAGATGCTGCTTGTATCAGTCGAGCTGTTTTGAGCATTATGCAGATAATAAAATCTCTCAGGACAGTGTAGGCTTGTTTTTTGTTCTCTTCACGTTAGTGGCAACAGATTAACTCCGATACGGCTGCTGGACTTGTAGCAATAATAAGCTTATCTCTTGGTCTAGTATAATTTCAAGAGGTTTACATTAAAATATCACACAAGCTCAGTGAAACTTATGAGGATATTGTGTTGTTTTTATAGCTGCAGCTCCTGTGTGTCTGTGAGTGGATAAATGTGACCAATATAGAGTTAGCTAAACGTTCTGTTTAGACTGAACCCTGCTGTCTGTCTCTCGTTCATACTCTTGCTTCTTCTCAGTGGTGTATTCATGCTGCTCTGTAAAGGCCCCCAGCCAGTCATCTGTCCCATCCTGTG